ACAATTCTGTGAATAAACTAAAAGCCATTAAAATAGTACTCTGCTGTACTTTAAATCTGGAATGTTCCCCAAAGGCACATGTGTTGAAGGCTTTGTTCCCAGCCCATGGCACTATTGGGAAATGGGGGAATCTAGTAGGGGAGCCTAATAATAGGAAGTTTAGTTACTGGGACATGCTTTTGATATTGAGACCCTACCCCCTTCTCTTCCCCTTCATGTTCTTTTTCTCTTTCCTCTTCCTTCCTTCCTGCCTTCCCCCAACCTCTCTCTATCTCTCCCTTCCTCCCTCCCTCCTTGCCTCCTCTTCTTTCTTTTTCCTCCCAGCTGCCATGAGCTAATGCGCTTTCTTCTGCCATGATTATACTGCCTTGCAACAGGCCCAAATGCAGTGAGGCCAGATGACCATTTGGAGGACTATATCCAACATCATGAGCCAAAATAAACTTTCCCCCTTTTTAAGAGAATATTTCAGGTATTTTGGCATAGTGATGGAAAGCTGACTTACTCATATGCTTTAAATGGGTAAATTGTAAGATGTGAATTATATCAAAACTATTATAAAAAGATGCATAATTATAATGTGTAATTGGGTAAGGGAAAGGAGTTAATATGTTCTAAAGTTCATGTACTGATTGGTAGGAAGATAAAGATATTGATAAAGCAGGTATATTTCTTGATTTTCTAGAGTAATCACTAAAATTATAGAAACAAAATTTGCAACTTCCAAACTATTAGAGAGAAAATAGTGGAAGGACAATCAGAAAGATATCAAGAAAGGATACAAAAAAAAAAAAAAAGAAGAAGGTAGGATACTCTCCAAAATAGTATAGTTTATTAATGCTCAAATATATTAAAAATACAAAAACATATCAAAGATACAAGAAAGTTGAAGATAAAATTATAAAATCATGCTATGCAAATGCTAGAAAAATGAAAACTGTTAGCCAGATTAATATTAGACACAATAGAAATTAATATTAAAAACACTTCTAGAAATAGAAGATCATTTTGTGAGAGAGATTTGAATATCAAAGAAATATAATTTTAATCTGTATATACCTAATTATAAAGGTTTGATATATGCAATGCATAAATTCAGAGAACTGTAAGGAGAAATAGACAAGTCCACAAATATAGTAGATTTCCTCTTTCTTTAATTTATAGGACAAGCATTAAAAATCAACAAGTATTTAGAAGATTAGAGCAACATGGTTAAAAAAATCTAAAAAATTAGATATATTTAGAACACTGCAGCCAACTACTAGGGAATTTTAAGAACATATACTTTTCTTCTCCAAGTTGACAGTACAGTATTGTATGACTGTGCTTAAAATTAAAGAAATAAAAACAGTTTAGAGCATGATATTAAGCTAAAAAGCAAAGAAATAGGTATAAGCAGGAAGACACAATATTCTTGGAACTTTTGAAATATTCTAAAGTTAGTCCAGAGGTAACATAATGGCTATTGTATGCATGCACAAATACTAACAATGAATCCCACTATTAAATATAATAGTAATACACCACTAAAAACTTTTTTAAAGGAGGTAATATAATGGAGATTAGAAAATAATTTAACTCAATAAGGAGAACACTTAAGAATTTGTGTAATATAGCTAAAGCAATAGATAGAAATTGTGTAGTTGTAAATACTTATATTAGAAGATAAATACTGAACATTAATGAACTAAGTATCTTTCTTAAGAAAAAGAGCAAAATTTAAAGTAAGAAACAGAAAGGAAATAAGGATAAATACAAAAAGCATTAGAAAACATACAATTGAGAGGATCAGTAACCTCATGTCCTTCATCTTCACTCACATATCACCTCTATTAGAAGTCCACCGTAACCACTCTATTTAAAATTGTAATTCATCTATCTACAACTACCCTAGCAGTCTGAAGTCCCTCAACTTTCCTCCATATCACTTATTACTCTTTAAAATATTTTATAATTTTTTAAATTTATTTTTTGTTTGTTTTTGCTTTCTCTTTCCATTTGAATGTAAGCTCATTGTGCAAGGATGTTTGTTTACTTATATATTCGAAATGATTAGCATGTTAGATTCTTAAGGTTTATTAAAATAATTGAGTAAATGAACAAGGTACAATTTATTTCTTTGGAAAAAACTGACAAAATTCACAATTTTCTAGTAAGCATATCAAGAATAAAAAGCATAAATAATAAATATCAAAAACAAAAAGGGAGGCATGATTTAAACAATAAATTTCACTATTTAAACAACTTTATGTGCCAAAAAAAAATAGGAAACCTAGATGAATTAGACCAACACCAAAAAAAAAACAATAACTTAAAATATTTTAATGAAGAAGTAGAAAACTTCTTCATTAAAATCATTTAGGAAATTAAGTCAGTGGTTCATCTTCCCAGAAAGAAAATTCTGAGCCCATAAGTCTTTGTTAGCTAATTCTTTATTCACGATAAATAAATATTTTAATATTTACATCAATTCTTCCAAAGCATATTTAATGTGTACAAAAAAGTATGTTTAATGTGTACAAAATTTTATTTTGGAATGCTAGAAAAGTGCTGAAAATTGGTGCTGGTTAACATACTTAAAACCACTGAATTGTACACTTGAAAATGGTTAAAATGGTACATCTTATGCTATATGTGCTTTGCCACAATAAAAAGAAGTAAATCTCAATAGTATACATAAAGCACAGTTAAATGTATGTAAAAATTAAAAAGAAATTACTTGCTAGGCTGGGGTTGTGGCTCAGTGGTAGAGTCCTTGCCTAGCATATGTGAGGACCTGGGTTTGTTTCTCAGCACTGCATACAAATAAATAAAATAAAGTTCCATTGACAACTAAAAAAAAATAGAGAGAGAAAGAAAGAAAAAAGAAATTACTTAGGGATACATGAGAAAACTATAAAGAAAAATTATCACAATTATTTTAGTTGTAATTTTTAAAAATCATACATGATTGTACATATTTATGGGGTACAGTGCGATATTTTCATAAATGTATACAATGTGAAAAGATCAAATAAGGATAACTAATACAAGAATCACCTCATTTATCCTTTCTTTGTGTTAGGAACATTCAGAGTCCTCTTTTCTAGGAATATTGAAAATAGTCAATGAGTTATTGTTAACTATAGTCACCCTCTTGTACTTTGGAACACTAGAGCTTATTTCTCCTAACAGTAATTTTGTACCTACCAGTCAACCTCTCTCTGTCCCTCCCTCCCCACCACAATTCCCAGCCTCTGGTAACTATTTTACTCTCTACATGCAGGAAGTTAACTTCTTTAGTTTCCACATACAAAGTAGAGTATGCAATTTTGTCTTTTTGTGCCTTTGTAGTAGGTGACAAATAGTATCCTCTTTAAAACTGTTTTGCTCAGTAAGATTAGTTTTCAAAATCATATTCTTAGGAGCCACACTCCTTCTCAAAGTCTTAGAAGGTTTCCATTTCTCTTAGAATAATGGCCCAACACTTTATCATAGGCTTCAACCTTCATTCCCATGCTTATTCCCTTTGTTACCTCTTCTTTGAGTCTTCCCAGAACCAACTGAATTTTTTGGTCTATCCAGTGTTCTTCCAACCCTGTATCTTGCACACATATTTTCCTCTTCTTAGGATGTCTTACCCTGATTATTAACATCTTTTGAGTACAAATTTAAATACCCCTTACTCTATAAACATTTACCTTGAGCCCCATAATTGAAAATAATCTCTCCTTCCTCTAAACTTCCAAAATAACACTCAGTATACCTATCAGTCATAAAAATACCTTCCACTTTTATGGATGTACAGTTTTCAAATGATTTTTACATATATTTTTCTTTATTCTTCATAACAATCATGAGGTTTTCTTTTGTACCACTTAAATAAAGATACAGAGACTTGAGTATGAGAATTATTTAAATTGCATATACTTGTCACTCTCATTCCTTCTCTTTTTTAATTACAGCATTATAGTTATACATACTGTCTGGATTCATCTGGACAAAATCATACATGCATGGACTCTGACCCACTCCATTTGAGTCCCTGTTTTATCCTCTGCTTATCCCTACCCCACTCCTCTACTCCACTTATCCTCTACTTGCTCTCATATATTTGTCCACCCTTGACTGGTTCTTTCCACACACACACCTATAGGTGAAATTCACTGTGGTATATTTATGTATGCACATAAAGGGATTTTGTTACATTTATTTCACCTTTCCCATCTCTCCTTCCTTCCTTCCTTGATGATCGCATTTTATTCCAATGATCTTTTCTATATATTTATGATATCTGACCCCTCTCTCCATTTTCCCTTATTTTACTCTACCTTCCACATATGAGAGAGAACATTTGACCCTTGATTTTCTTAGTCTGGCCTATTTCACTTAGCATGATATTCTCCATTTCCTTTCATTTACCAACAAATGCCATAATTTCATTCTTCTGTATGACTGAGTAAAACTCCATTTTGTATGTCTACCACATTTTCTTGATTCATTCATTCATCTAGTGACAGGCATCTGATTCCATAATCTGGCTATTGTGAATTGTAATGCTATAAATATTGCTGTGGCTGTATCACTGTAGTATTCTGATTTTAGTTCTTTGGGGGCATATATACTTATATACTATTATATATTATTATTATTATTATATATTTTTATATATTTATTATATCTTCTTGTTGGATTGTCCTCTTTTCCAGTCTTTAGTGACCTTCTTTGTCTCCTCTGATTAATTTTTGCTTGAAATTTGCTTTGTCAGATATGAAAATAGCTACTCATTTCTTCTTTTAAATAATTTACATGCTTATTTTTCTTATTTGTTTCCAGATTTAGTCCTTCAATGCACTGAATTAAGGCTTTGCACTAATTAGCAACCTAATCTGTTGAGTGAATAAATGAAAGATTGGTTAAAAACAAAAATGTTTTTCTTAATTACTATTTGAGGAGGTGTATGTTTTTAAGCAAATTTGGTGCATGCTAATAGCCTTTTTTATGTTGTGATCTTTGTTAAGTCTGGCCATAAGAAAAAAAAAATCTCCAAAGCTGAGCGACTGAAGCAGCTACAAGAGGAGGAGGAGAAGAAACGACTAAAAGAGGAAGGTACAAAATAAACAATGGTACTTTTTCCTATATAGGTAATACTAACAATAGGTTAGTAGTTTTGCAATTTAGTCAACGTTTCTCATAATTCTTTAATTTTTATAATTTATACCTATTGGGCTGGGGATGTGGCTCAAGCGATAACGTGCTTGCCTGGCATTCGTGGGGCGCTGGGTTCGATCCTCAGCACCACATAAAAATAAAATAAAGATGTTGTGTCCACCGAAAACTGAAAAATAAATATTAAAAAATTCTCTCTCTCTCTCTCTCTCTTTAAAAAAATAATTTATGCCTATTTTATAAGGGTGCCTACTACTTAGTACAAACAAATTATATTAAGTTAAATCTCTTAGTTGTGTTGTCAGATAAAATCCAGGAGTCCATTTGAATTTCAGATGAAAATTGACTAACTTAGGCATACTTTGCCTGGTGCAGTATTTGGGCATAAACTTTTTAAAAAGTTGTTTATCTGAAATTCATATTCAGGTGATCATTCCACATTTTTATTTGCTAATTCTAGCAACCTTGTCTTGAAGTGTTTATATTTACTGATGAAATTTGGGGCATTGGTGCTGATTGTGCAACAAGAATTCTTAAACTCAGTTCACTAAAGTTTGGAACTATATACTAGCAAGAAATACATACAACAGCTTAAATTTGTGCAGTTTAACAATATTTATTTGCCAAATGCAAATTTTATTTTCAATTAAACATTAATAAAAGTGTTGACTAATTAAAATACCAAAAAAGTGATTTTAAAATTCTGGATATTGCTAGTGGCTGTAGCTTTTAGCATTAAGAACATCATCAGACTCATATTCAGAATTTTTAAAAGACTCAGGTTCCATTTGATTTTTTAATGTCATAAATCCTTTTTTAGATGACTCATGATAAGAGTTCAGTATCAGGATCTTTATTTTGGGAACATTTTATTACATTGGTTTAAAGTCATATTCTTCAATATATATTTTATATTTGTTTTAATTGTAAGAGCAAGAAAAGGTTAAAGTAATTACTTCTGATTATGTAGATATGGATGTCTTCTGAAGACTTTTACTCCCCTAATTACCCATGAAACATCTGTGTATTTTGTTGCTTAAAATAATTACTGGATTGCTATAAAAGCTTTCGAGAAGAGAAATATTATCATGAACACATTTTTTTTTGTGAAAAAGTTTGAGAGTCATTTTACTTTTTTGAAGGAAGAAAGCTAATACTTTTATCATTTCTGCACAAAGTATGTATCTTCTATAAAATATTACAGTATTTTTGAGAATATTTAGAGTAATTTTAAGAGCCTTAGAAAAAGGTGAGCTAATCACTGAGATCATGTATTTACTTTTTTGGTTCTTTAGAGGAAGCTCGTTTGAAACGTGAAAAAGAAGAACAAGAAAAGCTTGAAAAGCAGCGAATTGAGAATGAAAAATGGCATCAACTTGAAGAAAAAGTAAATGAACATTAGTAATATTCTTACTGAAGGTTTATTTTATTTTTATTTTATTTTATTTTTTTTATTGTTGGTTGTTCAAAACATTACATAGTTCTTGATATATCATCTTTCACACTTTGCTTCAAGTGGGTTATGAACTCCCATTTTTAGCCCATATACAGATTGCAGAATCACATCAATTACACATCCATTGATTTACATATTGCCATACTAGTGACTGTCATGTTCTGCTACCGTTCCTATCCTCTACTATCCCCCCTCCCCTCCCCTCCCCACCCCTCTTCTCTCTCTACCCCCTCTACTGACCTTCATTTCTCCCCCTTGTATTATTTTTCCCTTTCCCCTCATTTCCTCTTGTATGTTCTTTTGTATAACCCTGAGGGTCTCCTTCCATTTCCATGCAATTTCCCTTTTCTCTCCCTTTCCCTCCCACCTCTCATCTCTGTTTAATGTTAATCTTCTTCTCATGCTCTTCGTCCCTACTCTGTTCTTAGTTACTCTCCTTATATCAAAGAAGACATTTGGCATTTGTTTTTTAGGGATTGGCTAGCTTCACTTAGCATAATCTGCTCTAGTGCCATCCATTTCCCTGCAAATTCTATGATTTTGTCATTTTTTAATGCAGAGTAATACTCCATTGTGTATAAATGCCACATTTTTTTAATCCATTCGTCTATTGAAGGGCATCTGGGTTGGTTCCAAAGTCTTGCTATTGTGAATTGAGCTGCTATGAACATCGATGTAGCAGTGTCCCTGTAGCATGCTCTTTTTAGGTCTTTAGGGAATAGACCAAGAAGGGGAATAGCTGGGTCAAATGGTGGTTCCATTCCCAGCTTTCCAAGAAATCTCCATACTGCTTTCCAAATTGGCTGCACCAATTTGCAGTCCCACCAGCAATGTACAAGTGTACCCTTTTCCCCACATCCTCGCCAGCACTTGTTGTTGTTTGACTTCATAATGGCTGCCAATCTTACTGGAGTGAGATGGTATCTTAGGGTGGTTTTGATTTGCATTTCTCTGACTGCTAGAGATGGTGAGCATTTTTTCATGTACTTGTTGATTGATTGTATGTCCTCCTCTGAGAAGTGTCTGTTCAGGTCCTTGGCCCATTTGTTGATTGGGTTGTTAGTTATCTTATTGTCTAATTTTTGGAGTTCTTTGTATACTCTGGATATTAGGGCTCTGTCTGAAGTGTGAGGAGTAAAGATTTGTTCCCAGGATGTAGGCTCTCTATTTACCTCTCTTATTGTTTCTTTAGCTGAGAAAAAACTTTTTAGTTTGAGTAAGTCCCATTTGTTGATTCTAGTTATTAACTTTTGTGCTATGGGTGTCCTATTGAGGAATTTGGAGCCTGACCCCACAGTATGTAGATCGTAGCCAACTTTTTCTTCTATCAGACGGCGTGTCTCTGATTTGATATCAAGCTCCTTGATCCATTTTGAATTAACTTTTGTGCATGGCGAGAGAAAGGGATTCAGTTTCATTTTGTTGCATATGGATTTCCAGTTTTCCCAGCACCATTTGTTGAGTCAGGAGGATATAGACAACCTAAACAGACCAATATCAATCGAGGAAATAGAAGAAACCATCAAAAGACTACCAACTAAGAAAAGCCCAGGACCGGATGGGTATACAGCAGAATTTTACAAAACCTTTAAAGAGGAACTAATACCAATACTTTTCAAGCTACTTCAGGAAATAGAAAAAGAGGGAGAACTTCCAAATTCATTCTATGAGGCCAACATCACCCTGATACCTAAACCAGACAAAGACACTTCAAAGAAAGAAAACTTCAGACCAATATCTCTAATGAACCTAGATGCAAAAATCCTCAATAAAATTCTGGCGAATCGGATACAAAAACATATCAAAAAAATTGTGCACCATGATCAAGTAGGATTCATCCCTGGGATGCAAGGCTGGTTCAATATATGGAAATCAATAAATGTTATTCACCACATCAATAGACTTAAAAATAAGAACCATATGATCATCTCGATAGATGCGGAAAAAGCATTCGACAAAGTACAGCATCCCTTTATGTTCAAAACTCTAGAAAAACTAGGAATAACAGGAACATACCTCAATATTGTAAAAGCAATCTATGCTAAGCCTCAGGCTAGCATCATTCTGAATGGAGAAAAACTGAAGGCATTCCATCTAAAATCTGGAACAAGACAGGGATGCCCTCTCTCACCACTTCTGTTCAACATAGTTCTCGAAATACTGGCCACAGCAATTAGACAGACGAAAGAAATTAAAGGCATCAAAATAGGAAAAGAAGAACTTAAATTATCACTATTTGCAGATGATATGATTCTATACCTAGCAGACCCAAAAGGCTCTACAAAGAAACTATTAGAGCTAATAAATGAATTCAGCAAAGTGGCAGGATATAAAATCAACACGCATAAATCAAAGGCATTCCTGTATATCAGCGACAAATCCTCTGAAATGGAAATGAGGACAACCACTCCATTCACAATATCTTCAAAAAAATAAAATACTTGGGAATCAACCTAACAAAAGAGGTGAAAGACTTATACAATGAAAACTACAGAACCCTAAAGAGAGAAATAGAAGAAGATCTTAGAAGATGGAAAAATATACTCTGTTCATGGATAGGCAGAACTAACATCATCAAAATGGCTATATTACCAAAAGTTCTCTATAGGTTTAATGCAATGCCAATCAAAATCCCAAAGGCATTTCTTGTAGAAATAGAGAAAGCAATCATGAAATTCATATGGAAAAATAAAAGACCTAGAATAGCAAAAACAATGCTAAGCAGGAAGTGTGAATCAGGCGGTATAGCGATACCAGACTTCAAACTATACTACAGAGCAATAGTAACAAAAACAGCATGGTACTGGTACCAAAACAGGCGGGTGGACCAATGGTACAGAATAGAGGACACAGAAACCAATCCACAAAACTACAACTATCTTATATTTGATAAAGGGGCTAAAAGCATGCAATGGAGGAAGGATAGCATCTTCAACAAATGGTGCTGGGAAAACTGGAAATCCTTACTGAAGTTTTAAACTCTGTGGGTACCAGATCTGTTGCCCTCCAAGGTCCTTTCAGCCCATAGCTACCAGTAGTATTTAGTCCTACATGAACTGGTTTAACTCATTTACTCTTACCATAAAACGAGTAACATTGTCACCCACATTTCAAAGAAAAGGAAATTGAAAAGAAAATAAATTGTTGCAAAACCAGGACAGACAGACCTAAGCGATTTTGCTTCAGAGCTTATGCTTGTAACTCTTCAGAATGCATAAGTCTTTTATATTCAAATGTAACAGGGACCAAAAAAATAATTCAAAATATTCAAATTCTCTCTTCTCTTTTTCACTAAAATCTTTTAGACCTGTAGTTCTGAAACATTTAGTCTCAAGGTAAAACTCAATTAATGTGTTAAAAAACTGAAGCACCCCAAGGATCTTTTGTTTTTAAGAATTACATCTACCAGTATTTATAATAGTAGTAATTAAATTTTGCATTTAAAAATATTAATAGGCATAAACATTAATAAAAATAAATTGTGACTAAAACAAGTAAACACATTAACATTTTTATAGAAAATACTTTATAGTTTTAAAATAAAATTATATTTTTTAATTAGGGAAATGAATGGCATCCTTTAGATTTCATGAATCTCTTTACTAAATGATTTAACTGAAGACAACTGGATTTTCATGTCAACTTCAGTATTTCATCTGTTCTAATGTGGTATTTCGACTGAAATACCATGAAGAAAATCTTGCCCCAGTTGGGAAAAGAAGGAATATAATTGTGAATATTCTTTGATTTATTACCAGAAGTCAACAAGTGGTAGTTCTTTTTCTTCCTCCTCTTCTCCTTCTCCTTCTTTTCTTTTTTGTTTCTTCTTTTCCTTCTCCATTTTCTTTTACCTCTTCCCTTTCCTCTTCCTGTTTTTTTTTTTTTAAATGGGGTGTCACTGGAGTTGCCCAGGCTGTCCTCAAACTCCTGACTTCAAGTGGTCCTCCTACCTCTGCCTCCTGAAAAGCAGGCATGAGCTATCAAACCTGCTTAAGAAAGGGTAATTTCCTAAGTATGGAATCTGAAACCATATCAAATAATTGTACATACTGTGTTACATTAAAACATTCCTCTGTTATACTCTGAATAGATCTCATTCTATGCATGATTTTGCAATATCATGCATTGCTTCTTGGAAAAATTTTGTTTCACTGAATTGTTTACCTCCAAATGTTGATGTATTTTATTAATAATTATAAAAAATCACATATATTAGTATCTCCAATCAAATCAGAAGTTTTTAAGGATTGAGAAGCTGTCAAACTCAGTCATAGATAACAAGTTTTTTAAAAATCTGAATTTTTATGAAAGCTTCAATTTTATCACTAAAAAATATTTTGAATTGTCCTTGGAATGATATTCTATTTATTCAATTTTGAGAGAATGTCTGCCAAAACGTTCAAGTAACTGCACAAGTATTACTTCTTTTTTTATGGATTTTTCTTTTAGTTCTAGATGGACACAATACCTTTATTTTGTTTGTTTCTATTTTTATGTGGTGCAGGGGATTGAACCCAGTGCCTCACACATGCTAGACAAGTGCTCTACCACTGAGCTACCACCATGGCTCCAACAAGTGTTATTTCTTAAGATAGTATTGTTCTTTGACATGGCAGCAGAAGTTCTTTATGCATAGTTCCCATTGTAAAACACAGAATATTAAAAATGCTTGTGTTTAGCATTGAGATTTAGTAAAATTAATAATTTTTACCCTTTTGTCAAGTCATTCCTATGTGCAACTGACTCCTCTTTCTCACTGGTCTGCCCTGCCTCCCAGCCCCCAATCTAGTACAGTTTGGAGTCAACTGCTCTGTTTTGTTAAGGCAACAGTAGTTTTATACCATCTTGCACCATCAATGCAACATGTATACTGTGAAAGATATATAATGTCTTTGAGTTTTGTGAAAATACAGCTATGAAAATGATTTCATAGATCCCAAAGGAGTTTTCCCCAAAACTTTCCCCACCAAGAGTTCTACAAATGAGACTTTGAAAACCAGCTTCAGATGAAATATCTCCTGTTTCTTGAAATGTCAGATGTTGTGGTCAAACTAATTTAAGTATTCATTTTAAAACCATATACTTAGCCAAATAAATTTTAGATGCTACTTTTGAAACATAAAGCTGAAATAAAAGAACACATCATTGTATCTATCCCTATGCAACAGGATCTACAAAGGAGAACTGAAGAACTTGCAGAACTGAATTTATTAGAGGGGTGTTTTCTGGAAGCAGAGAAGTTGAAACGAGATACTAGATCACTTGCTCACGTAAGACTGATTCTTTTTATGAAGTTTTTTTTTTTTAATTGAGATTTTGTGACCAGAAGAAGGAGGTGTATATAATCTGACATTCATTTTGATTCTAGGAAACTTTAAACTTATGTATGAAATACAATCTGACAAATCTATTGCTCATTACAAAGTTAACTGATATAACTTTGTAGAAAGCTGTTTTTCAGAAATAATATACTTGAAATGTTTATACCTTGTCTCTGACTCAGTTGTTGGGAATCCATACAGACATAGCTCATTTTATTGTACATCACTTTATTGTACATTGCAATTTTTACAAATTAAAGGTTTGTGGATATCATGTCAAGCAGTTTTTCTGACAACATGTGCTTACTTTGTGCCTGTGTTACATTTTTTAAGTTGCACAGTATTCCAAACTTTATATTACACTATTATTATTATCTGTAATCTATAATATTTGATGTTACTATTCTAAGGGTTCAGGAGTGCCACAAATTGCTCACATAGTAGATGGCGAACTTAATTGATGCATGTGTGTATACTCTGCTCCGCTGACAGTCATTCTCTGTCTTTCTCCCTCTCCTTAGGCCCCTTATTTTCTGAGACTCAATAGTACAGAAATTAGGCCAATTAATAACTCAGTAAAGACCCCTAAGTGTTCCAATGAAAGGAAATAGGTATACATCCTTCACTCCAAATCAAATGCTAGGAATGATTCAGCTTAGTGAGGAAGCTGAAGTAGGCCAGAAGCTAGGCCTCATGTATCATATCGCCAAGTTGCAAATGCAAAGGGAGAGCTCTTGAAGGAAATTAAAAGTGCTACTTCAGTGAAAGCACAAATGATACAAAGCAAAATATTCTTGTTGCTGACATAGAAAAAGTTTTAAAGGTCTGGATGGAAGATCAAACCAGCCACAACATTCTCTGCCAAAGCCTGATCTGGAGCAAGACCCTTAACTCTTCAATTCTATAAAGGCTAACAGAGGTATGGAGGCTGCAGAAGAAAAGTTTGAAATTAGCAGAGCCCAGTCCATGAGGTTTATGTCTTTCTAACATAAAAGTGTGTTAAATAAAATGTGTGGGAAGCCAAGGATTCAGACTGGGCACCCACATGGAACCCCACAAACCAAACTAGTACAGAGTTTAATTACAATAACTGAGCTTTGGTTGGTTTCAGGAGGTTCTGTAGCTGATTAGCTAACAAATTATAAGCAGTTGATTAGTTGATTGACTAAGCTTCAGCCAATTAAGTTGTTTTCTATGCCTCACTTCCATTTCCCTATAAATACTGTGTGATAACGTTGTTGGCTTGAGTTCTTAGAACCTGCTCTTGTTCTGGAAGTAGTCTGATTCATGAATCATGGTTGGTTTGTTTTTCTTTGCTCAAATGAATTCTGCTTGACATAATTGGTCTAAGGAATTGTCCCTTTTAGTGGTTTTGGCATAATCAGCTGGCTCTGAAGCTGAGCTCCCATGACCCCTAGAAGCAACAAGTAACCAGGAATGGGCTCTCCCCAAGCCCACTGTGCTCATTGTTTTTTTGCTCCAACTGTGGATTGTGGGTAAGTTATTGCTTGGATTCTTAAGCTTCTCAAATTTGGGTTTTGGACTAAGTTTGAACAAATGTTTTGATTCAGACTAGGTACTATAGGGAAGTCTCGGGTGTCTGGCTGGGTGAGCCAGAAAATGAACTGGTTCAGTAGGAACGAGAGTGGATTCTCTAGAGAAGCCTCAGGTGTCTGACTGGGTCAGACAAGAAAAAATTGAACAGAGTTCAGTGGATAAGCAAGGTTACGAAAAGTCAGAATCATGGGTTCATCTGGATCCATGGAGTCTAGAACTCCATTTTCTGAACCTCTTCCAGGGATAGTTTATTCTGTGAGAGAGAACATAACTGGGAAAATAAGAAGGGTCAGCTTGAGCCAAGAGGGCATATGAACTTCTTGGGGTTCATAGTGTCTGTTTGGGTCAGTCAGAAACAAAAGGGCCCTGGGTCTAGAACTTTGTTACTCCACCCAGTTTTATGTATAAGATTTACATTTATATTTTGAGAAATGGATAAATCTTACCAGAAATAAATTGGGAATGTGATGGCCACCACAAGGAAGTTTTAATTTGTACAAAATTACTTTCTTGTGGGGTAAATTGCAAAATCAAAACTCCACAACAATGAGATATTTCTAAAACTTAATACACAGAGGCTTTTAAATGACTAAATGAAAAAGAAAAATGAGTTATTTTATACAAGTTGAAATAAGCAGAGTGAGCCTTTTTTAAAAAATCACCTTTATGCTTTGGTTCAAAACTTAAGCTCAGAAAAATAATGTAAGGTGTCTAACTCAGGAATGGAAATGTAGGTCCCACCCTGAATTTAGTAACAGTTAAAAACAAAACCAAAAACAAACATAGGTTGTGCTGGGAAGCTGCCTATTTTTAGTTACTTTGAGATCAACCTTTAGAGAGGGAAATGTGTATCTATGGAGAAAGTCTCCATTTATGAGAGTGTCTCCCTCTCCAAAACAACAAGAAAAGAAGGCCTAAGTCATTAGAGAGGTTTACAAAAGAAAAGGCAAAAATATCTGGGTCTTCACAAGTAACAGACCTCATTTTTGACCATTTTGTCTTAACTAGGCTTCCTGCTTTTGCTTCTCTTTCTGGCAGATGATGATAATTGGGCTTGAAATTTGATTATTCTGCATTCTATAACTTATCTTGAAGTAGACAAAATCATACAAATTATGGGAAAGTGTTGATATGATGACTGTTCTGAAGAAGTTGCTGTGGTTCATTGCCAGTCTTTGGCTTGTCAAGCCCATAATCCTGGGAAGACAATACTTCAAGTAATATATCTCTGCTATCTGATGAACCATTTGCATATTTACAAGGAAATTCCACTCAATGGCTACCTTCAGCGGGATATGAATATGTTCTTAATAGGCTGTGTTCTGTGATTGTACAGAAGCTTTTCATGCAGGAAGGCCAATGTTATAACACTAGTTAAAATGTTATTCAGAAATGTTTTCTTTATGGAGCATTCCTGAAGAAATCTCTGGTGACAGAAGGTAAATTATGAAGCAAACAAGGTTACAAATACAGTGGCATTAGCATTGGCCCTATAATCCTCAATTTCTGGAAAAGGTGAAAGGATCAATAACATTTTTAAAAATAGAAATTGACAAGGTCAGTTGGATTGCTATGGCCAAAGATAATACCATTTTTTTGCATTTTTTTACTTTTAATCAGTTCATTTTAGTTATGCATAACTTTAGAATTCATTTTGACATAATTTTAAAAAGCATAGAATATAATTTGTTCTAATTCAGTCCTTAATACTTCCCCAGGCCCTTTTATCTTTTCTCTCCCTTGTTCCCTTCCCACTACTCTACCAATTTTTCTGCTATTCAGTTTTTTTTTTTTTAATTAATGTCTTGTGGGGATACAAGATGGTGAGATTCAGTCCTCATTGGACTGAGAATATTATACCTTTTAATTTTTCCTTGCTTATGCCTACCATTTTTGCTTGGTGGGTTGACATTGTAACTATAGTTTTATACTATTCTAAACTCTTATTCTCATTCCTTATTTTAATTTAATTTGGCTATGAAGTGCTGGATTATGTGCCAGTCAAACAGAGAGAAATTTATGCAGTGTGATACTTTTGTTGTACATGGATAGATACATTCAGAAAAATTAACAAAGGGGCTGTTTGGTTAAAATGAATAGACTCTTCATCTGGCTCATTCTCTGATCATTTAATTTGGCTTATGGAGACTCTAGGTAAGGAGCATTCTTCTAATTTTCGTTATTATCCTTCTGATGGTCACCATTGTAGTCTCCCTGGTGTGCTGTATTTTCCGAGTCTTAACTGTCTACATCTGCTGAGTGCTGAAGGGTCTGTTAAGCTGTAATGAAAAGAAATGCATGATCACAAGTATGAGGCCACTGATAAATAACATGTTATGATTGAAAATCCAGGATGATCATGACCGAGAGTAGCACTGATGCCCTAAGTTTCGGTAACTCTCACTCAGCAAGAGTTTGACCAAAAGAGGGTGAGAGGGGTTGAATAAAACTTTCTTATAATAAGGTAAATGATTATGGTACAATTTTTAAGTAAAAATTGTGAATTTAATATTATTCCAAAAATATTACTTTTACATCCTATGCAAAATGTAAAATTTGCATAGGATATAAAAGTGATAGAGGGATTCTTAAAATGCCAGTGGTAATGAATAACTCAAATAAGATTTTTTTATTTGTTGATTTTTTTTTTGTAGTGTAGCGGATTGAACCCAGGGGTAATCTACCACTGACCTGTTATGCCCCTAACCCTTCTTATTTTTTTTGAGAAGGGTCTAAGTTGCTGAACCTAGCCTGAACTTGTAATCCTCCTCCTGCCTCAGCGTCTGGAGTAACTGGAATTACAGGTGTGCCCTTCTGTGGCCAGCTCAAGTATTTGAAAAATGAAAATATGAAAGTAAATAGAACTTCTATTAATATGAATTTTGAAGATTGGAAATTATTTGGATTGAAAAATAATCTGGCTATTTTACTTTGTTTATTGGTTATTATTTGGTTTATATCAAGTTACTCATAAAAGTCATCAAAAATTTTTTTTTTGTCTAAATTGGAAAAACTGGGTTGTGAGTACTCAGACATTTAAAAAGAAGTAATTTAAACTTTGGTTGAATTCTCATAAAAAAATGAACCTTCAAACATTTTTATTCCACAGTGGAAACACTATATTCAATGTGATGGGAGTCCTGATCCTTCAATAGCCCAAGAAATAAATACTTTCATTAGCTTGTGGAAAGAGGAAACAAATCAGACTTTTATGGAGGTGGTTGAGAAAAGTAAATTAGTTCTACGTGTAAGTATTTAAGAATTGTCCTATAATATAAATTAAGTTACAAGAATTCTGATGTTAACTCCAAAAATAAAAAATTACTATATTATTTGCCAGTTAGTAACACTATTACTTCTAAACCCTTGGGTATAGAGAGAGATTTGGTAAACTTTTCACTTTCTTTTTATAACTCTTAACATTCTTTATATAAAGACAACATAAATGAGAAACAATTTTCTGAGCCAGAAAAAAAAATCAAGTTGTATGCATTTATGTAGATAACTTGGGTATAGATGGGTGACTTTTGTCCTCAGCTAGTATCATCTACTGTTATGGTTTGTATCTTAATGTCTCCTGAAAGCCTGTATGCTAAAGGCTTGGGTGGTCACTACAGCACTATTGAGAGGTATTGGAACCTTTAGAAAGTGAGGTCTAGTAGAAGGAAGTTAGGTCACTGAGGGTGTGCTATTGAAGGGGATATAGGGACCCTGGCCCCTTCCTCTCTTGCTCTGGGTCCCAGCTGCAATGAGGTGAGCACCTTTGTTCCACAAATTGTTCCCTGCCATAATATTCTACTATAGGCCCAAAAGGAATGGGACCAAGGGACTGTGAATTTCAAGAAACCTCTGAAACTATGAGCCAAAATAAATCTTTTATCCTTATAAATTGATTTTCTGATATTTTGTCACAATGATATAAATCTGATTAACACATCTACTATTCAGTAATTCAGTACCCATAATCTTTAATGTTTACTAGAAGCCAGGTCTCTGCTCTCAGGTGCTGGGGGTGCGAAGATGAATAACAGTATCCTAACTTCTTCTTTTGCTAATAGAATAGATAGGTTAGCCTATGAAGCTTCTACTTTACAATGCACTTAAAAATACTGTGAAACAATATTTTTAAAGTGAAGTTGGAAGAATTTACCAGAAGAAAATCAAGGAGGGAGAAAATATGAAAGAGTAGTTAACAGACATGTATAATGGAGTAAAACAGACTAAAAACAGGGAAGAGTACAAGAAGGCAATAAAGACTGGTAGATAGGCAATATTCAATGAGACAATGGCTGACAATTTTCTTGAACTGAATGATATGATTCTTCAAATCCCAAGAAAGAAGAGAAACTTTTTTTTTTTTTTAAGTACGTCCAATACTCTGAAACCAGTACTCTGTGTGTGAGGTTTCTCATACCAACTTATATCTTCTGCTCTTTGGGCACCAATCAGGCATCCTACAATTCAATGCTGACACTACCTAGAGTTGGCACAGGAGTCCTACTCTGTCCCACAAGTCTGTACCCCACTTCTATCATAAATCCTAGGTTGCCACCTGTACTTTACAGAAACCAGCTATAAGTAGGGTTCCCATACCTCTTTCTCAGGTGTGGTAACTTACTATAGTGGTTCTCAAAATGTAGGCAAATGTTTACTTTTGCTTACTAGCCTATTATGGAGGATATTAGGATATGGAATAAAGAGTTGTGTAAAGAAATACATAAGGCAAGGTATGTGGGAAGGGTTGTGGACATTCCATAACCTCTTTAGGTGTGTACGCCAATCCCAGAGCTCTCAGAACCCCATTGTTTAGGGTTTTTATGGAGGCCCCATTTCATGGCATGATTGATTAAGTCATTGACCATTGGTGATTAAGTCAATCTCCAGTTCCTCTCTCTTCCCTTGAGGTTAAGGAGTAGAGCTAAAATTTCTAACCTTAAAGTGACCTTGTTTCCTCTGACAACCAGCCCCCATCCTCCAAGAGTCACCACACTAGCATAAACTCACTAGCATAAACACACTAGCATAAAGTTGAAGAGAACTTACTATGAAAAACAAAAGCAATTCCTCTAGACCTTTTCTGTCAGTCAGGGATTTAGAAGCTGTATGCCAGGAACCAAGAGTGGGGGATGAACAAAAAAAGTCTAGAAAGTCCTTGATTCTGAGGCAACTTCTAAGGTCTTCCAATTCCTTTGAACACAAATGTGCTCAGCATGACAAAGATTATACTTTGGGGTATGGTATTCTGAGCTCCAACATCCCTAAGGACCCTCCCCTGAGTTATTTGAATGCTAATGTATTCATCACACAGTGTTCTTACCACTGTACACCCTCTCTATCAGGGAAGTTGCCAGGCATGATCCTGGTTCAGGAATCTGGTTCTTGGAAATTAGCAGGGAGATGGTAAGAAGGAATGTTAGAGTCTACCAGTGATAAGCTGGGTGGAGGGACATCTTCCTGTGACAGAATGTGGACTATGGAAGTACAAGTAACAAATGGTAGGAAAGATGGAAAAAGGGTAAGTAGAACAAGAGACAGAAGAAGAGAGTCTTCACAGCTTCAGGAAATAAAGCAGGAAGCTACCAGAGGTAGCTTGAAAAGAGTTGAATAGCTATACCAGAAGCACCTCATGGTAAATGCCAATTTCCAAATCATGTTTATTTAACAAACTCTCATACATGGCGTAATCTGTACCATGAAGTTGGGACCATTAGCAACATTTTACAAACAATGAAGCTAAAGCACAGAGATGTTAAATAATTTGTCAAGTCTTACTACTAGTAAGAGGTGGTTAGGATTAGACTATGGTGTTACATTTCTTTAAAAAAAATTAGTTGTAGATAGACACAATACCTTTATTTTTAATGTGGTGCTGAGGATCAAACCTAGTGCCTCATATCTGGTAGGCAGGCGCTCTATCACTGATTTACAGTCCCAGCCCCTGCTGCATCTCTTAATTCAGAAATTTTCTGTATGTATCTCTGTCAGTGCTCAAAATTAAGTTCTGCTACTTACTAATTCCTTGATCATCCAAGGCCTTGGTATCCTCATCTGTATAATAGACACAATAATACCTACTTCATATAATTATGATAAAGAATAAATTAAAACTACATGGCATTTAGAACAATTTCTAGAACATAGTATTCAGTATTGGTAGTTTTCCTCCTCTTCTCCTTTGCCCCCTTGTTATTGTCATACTTTTTGTTATTTATTAATTATTAACATGGTTTGGATGTGGTCTGTCCCCAAAGTTTAATGTACTGGAAGCTTGGTGCCTAGTGTTGTGCTACTGTGAGTTTTTTTCTTTTTAATTATTCTTAGTTATACATGACAATAGACTCTTTTTTTTATATACTTATATAAACATGGAATATATCTTATTCTAATTAGAACAGACATGATGCCAGTTCATGAATCTGGATCTTGGCAATTATCTGGGAGGTGGTGAGTTATGTCTGATTAATTTCACTGTCTTTCCTATTCCTATTCCCCCTTCCCTTCCCTTCTTTCTCCTCTGTCTAATCCATTTAACCTTCTATTCTTCCCCTCCCTACCTTGTTGTGAGTTAGCATCCACATATCAGGAGAACATTTGGCCTTTGGTTTTTTAGGATTGGTTTATTTCACTTAGCATGATAGTCTCTAGATCCATCTATTTATTAGCAAATATCATAAAGTCATTCTTATTTATGACTGAGTAATATTCCATGTGTATATGTATCAAAACAATTTTTAATCTATTCATCTGTTGAAGGGCACCCAGGTTGGTTCCATAGTTTAGCTATTGTGAATTGAGCTGCTTTAAACATTGATGTGGCCACATCACTATACTATGCTGAGTTTAAGTCCTTTGGGTATTTGCTGAAGATTGATATAACTGTGTCAAATGGTGATTCCATTCCTAGTTTTTTGAGTAATCTCCATACTGCTTTCCAGAGCAATTGCACCAATTTTCAGGCTCATCAGCAATGTAAGAGTTGACCCTTTTTCCTCACATCCTTGCCAACATTTATTGTTATTTATATTCTTGAAAATTGCTATTCTGACTAGAGTAAGGTGAAATCTCAGTGCAGTTTTAGTTTGCATAGCTCTAAGTGCTACAGATGATGTTGTATATTTTTTCACATATTTGTTACTATTTTTTCTTTTGAGAAATGGCTGTTTAGTTTCTTTTCCCATTTATTGATTGGGTTATTTGTTTTTTGAATATCCTGGAAATTAACATCTTATCTGAGGTGCAGGTGACAAAGATTTTCTCCCATTCTGTAGGCTCTCTTTTCATGGTCTTGATTGTTTACTTTGCTGTGAAACTTTTTAGTTTGACACCATCCCATTTACTGGTTTTTTATTTTACCTTTTATACTTCAGGAATCTTGTTGAGGAAGTTAGTTCTCAAGCTGACATGTTGAAGTGTTGGGCCTACCTTCTAGTAAGTTTCTAGGTTGCTGGTCTAATACCTAGGTCTTTGATCCATTTTGAGTTGAGTTTTGTGCAGATAGGGGTTAAATTTTATTCTACTACATTTGGATTTCCAGTTTCCCTAGCACCATTTGTTGAAGGTGGTAAGCTTTTTAAGAGGTGAGGTATAGTAGAAGGTAATTAGGTCATGAGAGCTCCATCATCTTAAAAGGATTAATGTGTTCTTGAAGGAGTTGGTCTGGTCTCATGGGAGTGGATTAGTCCTCTTGAGAATAGTTTGTTATAAGTGATCATGGCACCACCTCTGACTCCCTTCTTTGTGTGTGCCATTCTTATACATGTTTCCACCATTGTGAGGCCATTATTAAAATGGAGCAGATGCTGGTGCCATGTTCCTGAACCTATGTGAGCTAAATAAACTACTTCTCTTTTAAAAAGTACCCAGCCTTGGGTATTCTGTTTTAGCAATACAAACTACACTAACATATTCCTATTGTTTCAGAGTCTTAAAGAAGTCAAAATTTTTCATTATTTGTCATTTTGCTAATGAAAGCTCTATTATACTTAGTGGAGAATATTTAAAAGGGAGTTTGGGAGGAAATATTTTTATGATCTTAAATTATAGAATGAATACAGAAAGGATTTCTACATGTTTCACTGAGGATAAAAAGTTTCTCAATCCAAAAGTGATATAACATCCCCCTTTTACTTTTAATTTGACTATTTGTCAGTGGATTAATGTAAATATTCTTTATATTACAGCTAATTGAAAAGTTGAAATTGATTTTAATGGAAACTCCACCATTTGATTTGCAAGAACAAAATGTAATACAATACCAAGGATCAATTCTACAACTTCAGGAGCTCCTTCATCTTAAGTTTAACAAAGCCACAGAAATACTTCTCAGAGTATGTGTGAACTTTCCAAATAATCCTAACATTTAAAAACATTAAAATTTTGTACTATACAATAAAATAATTCAATTTTCTTAAAATATTAAAAGGGTATGGAAAAATTAGGATAACTTGAAGCACACATATTTAATGCAGATTTAGTAACTGTTAACATTTTTAAAGAAATATCATCGATATAACTGAAGTCAATTTTCTGATACATGCCAAGGTTTACTAAGTTCACTATGAAAATAAGTTTACAAAACAGTATTAGAAATTCACTTTGAGTAAATCATTTGGCACAAGATTACAAGTATTGATATTCTATTTTTCTCTAACTTTTTATTTTAAAAGCACTATATTTGAATGTGAAATTTGAAGAATAGTACCATGAATCCCCAAATACTCGCTATGTCGATCTAATTCATTTTTTATCTTTACTGAGCTATAATTGATATGTATTAAAACCAATAATATTTAAATGTCTGGTAGTATTCTTTATCTCTATATTTTCTTTACCATTTGAAAATTGTTGTTATTACATTTTATCCCCAAATAACACTATAACCATAAATTAATATACCTAACAAAAAATTATAATTTCATAATTCTCATATTCAACATCCTGTAATTTCCCATGAATGGCTTTTATAACTATTTTGTTTTAGCTTGATTTTTAAAATGAGAATAATCTACAGGCAGACATTGGTTTAGGCCATTAAACCAATTATTATTTTTCCTTTTGTCTAGAGCACAGTCCTTTGTATCAGTTTGGTAGAATATTATGTAATTAAAAAAAATACTACAAAGAAACCTTCCACTAAATATCTTTTACTAAGCTTATTGTTAGCATTATTATTCCTATTTTAATTTTGCACCTGTTACATGTGTAGTTGGACAAAAGAGGTAAGTAAATATGTATTCTAATTACTAGTAATCGAGATTTTTATCTTAAAAGAGGTACAGTATTTTTTTATAATCTTTTACATAATATCAAATTTGAAATAGAAATATCAATATGAAGAAAATTTTATTGCATAAAAAGTAACTAAGGGGCTAGGACTGTGACTTACAGTAGTGCACTTGGCTGGCATGTGTGAGGCACTGGATTCAATTCTCAGCACCACATAAAAATAAATAAAATAAAGGTCTATCAACAACTAAAAAAAAAAAAAAGTAAAAACTAAGAGAACTGGAGGTGTAGCTCAGTGGCAGAACATTTGCCTAGAATGCAGGAGGCCCTGGATTTAATCCCTAGCACATGCACTTAAAAAAAGAACCAAGACTAATTATAGTAAATAGCTAATTCCAGATCTGGAGAAGGAAAAGTAAAAGATGAGGCTATATTACCTTATTGTGTTAGATAGCAAGCAAACACTTAATTAAAAGATTAAGGGGGTCATATCAAAGGGACAGGGATCAGCTTAAAAGGAGTCTTATTGGCTAAAAATGGAATAATTTGAATAGCAGAAAGAATAATAACTATTATTAATTATAACACATTAAATAAATAAAAATCTAAGAATCTATGGTGATCCTTCAAAAAGGGGAAATGGGATGGGGGAGAAACAATTGTTTGTAGAAGAAGACTATCCAAGTAAAGATGGAAATATAAGTTAGAAAATGACTATTTTCCAATCCCCAATATTATAATTGATTCAGATAAGGATCCTTAAGAGCTACCTAAATGATGATATGAAAAGCTGTTAAGGAATGCATTATTCTCTTAGTTCCAAAGTATTCGACCTCAGATTACTAAGCAATTAGAAAAACAACAACAACAACAACCACAGCAACAACAACAACAACAACAACAAAACAAAACAGAAAAAGTACCTTGCAGTAAGAAGTGATATTAACCAAGTGACCAAGTTTTTATCATTAATAGTTGGACATCAGATGCCTCCAGATGTAATATGAAGAACATGATATAACTTTATTTATGGTTCCTTTTAAAAATTTGCTCTTTTTAGAATATTTTGATATGTTTATAGAAGCATAGAATATGTCTTATTCTAAGATCCCAGTCTTGTAGATGTACACAATATTGAGATATGATGCCTTTTTTGCTGAAAATATTTGATTTAAATTTAATTTAATCCCTAGTCTTTCCAGTGCAGAGAAAAGTAAATGGGATAGAGGACCAAGTTAAACAATACCATGAGGAAATAATCATGTAAATCTACAGTTTAGAACAGTTCTAAGAATCTATTCTAGATACTCCAAAAAGTTAATGTTACAGAAAACAAGTGTGGAAGAATAATCACTTTTAAAAATAAATCAGCAACAAGTACAGTTTGCAAAACTTTTTGTACTATAGCCATCATATATGTATTGATTTATTTGACCCCTTTCTGAGAGCTTATTTCTTGAGCAACAGACATGAAACTATTAGTCTGTAAAATTCTTGAGATCATCCTTAAGTGTTTAATGGTAGATGATAATCACTGGAGTAGCAAAACACATGATTCATTTGGATTTCATGAACTGGATATTGTGCTTTCTAGACTTGTGTGTTTGTGATAGGCTGACCTCAATTTACAATTTAATAAGTTACAGAGAAAGAAGCATGCATAAAGTTGAAATGAAAAGTCAATATTCTGATGTTAAAATTAAAAATGGTAACACAATAATCATCCTAGATTCTACCTGGGAATAAAGGATCACCTGTGTTTTGGATTTTGTTTTGGATCAAATTCAGAGCCTCTCTCACTGAGCTACAACTCCAGTCCTTTAGGAACCACTTTAATCATTAGATACCTTAAGAGAAACTGAGTAGAAAAAGGAAAGGTATATTTAATTATATAAATGTTTGCATCCTTAGGAGAAAGTTTTTAGCAGTCCTTTGTCATTTTGATCGAAATTTCTTTGTACTAAAGTTATTCTTTTAGTTAATTAATGAAAGGAATCTAATACATAAGGAATGAAACAACTTGTTTAAGTTGTATAATTTAGTAGGACTCTGGACCTATATAATGTTTTATTTCTTCTCCTCCATCTAGTGTTTATTTTTTCTTTTACAGCAAGCTAGTACTTTAGCAGATTTGGACAGTGGGAATATGGAAAAAGTAATTCAAGATGAAAATGTTACTCTGTATGTGTGGGCAAACCTGAAGAAGAATCCAAGGTACCCGGATGGGGAATATTTTCCCTATACATGTGACATTAGAGTCACATCATCACTGGCAGGCCTTTTGCATAATAGCATGGTATATATGGAAAAACCCATATTAGGAAGTCAGTCAACTGGAGTTGTAAATGGCTAAGTAACCTGCCTTTTACCCTAGGAAAGTTACTTAGCCTGTTGAGCTTCAGTTCATCACCAGTAAAATAACACCTCTATTACTTGACTTAATATGATTTGTTTGAAGATTAAGCACAATGCATGTAAAAGTTATAGCATAGTATTTAGTGTAAATAAACTATCAATAAATGTTGGGTTTTCCCTCTTCTTCTTCTACCTAAGCCTCGGCATCCCAAAAAAGTACATGTGGTGAATACTTTCTACACAGCAATCTGAAACTTTTAAAAAACATATACTTATCTTTTTGAAATGTTAAACATAATATATTTTCACACTGATTATTTCCTAGATATTTTTTAATGTTTTCCCAACTACTTTCAACAAAGAGACATATTTCTGAGGAATGATGTTGATAATGACAAATTTCTGATCACTTGATTGCTGTTTGGTATTAAATTTTGGTATTTTGATTTAATTGAGTTAGTATGGCTGTGAATTTCAGAAATTACCAGAATAAAAGTTAGAAGCCTTGGATTCTGGTTCTAGCTGAAAAGACTAATCATATGAATATAAACTTTATTTTTGCTATTTAGTAAAAGAAAGGAGCAAAATATTCCCTAAATTCCACGCACTACAAAATACTGTGGTTTAAAACTAATCACAGACAATATGTAACCTGTTTTTGGAAAATATGTCAGATAGTAGAAGAGTGAAGGAAATTAATCTGTATAGTTTGGTAGGAATAAAAATAAAACAAATAATTCTGTATTCACTACCCAGGTTTAAGAAGAGAATTAAGCTGGTATCTGTTAGTATAATAAGGAATAGTGGAGGGAAAACAAGTTTGGTTTTATTTTGATGATGATGAGGTGATAATATAAACAGGACAAATTTGGTGCTGGACTTTTTAAACTTAAAGTACTATGAGATACCAAAGTGAAACTGGCTGAAAGCATTTTGTTTTCTGAAAAAGAAACAGAGAGAAATCTAAGGTGGAGTATATTTGGAGAAGTCATCAATAATGAACCTGTGGTTCTTAATTTTTTGGGATGTCATAGGTTTTTCTTAACATCAAATAATTATATACATTCACACTCATAGAAGAACAGTTTTTGACCTATTAAAGTCCATTTAGGGATGCCTATGCCAGGAAAAAGTAAAACTCATGTTAGATACTCCTCATAATATAAACAGAAATTGAGGCCACAGAAATGACACTATCCAGAGTGTATATAGAGGAAGAAGAGAAGAGAACCTAGGACGGAGCATGGAGTAATGTCAACATTTTAAGGGTGATTAGAAAGGAAACACACAGGAGGCTAAAGGTGCTGCTAGAAATGAGGGAGTCGGGTATGGGGTAATGGATCCCAAGAGGGTGTTTGAGAAAAATAGCATCAGCAACTGGGTCCAAATGCTGCCAACAAAACAGGTCTGAATGGGATGTAAAACAGGAGCAAGGTCTACTGGAAGATGGCGGCGAGGGGAGTGCATTACCCCCGTGCGCTGCTTCACTGTGTGGGAGTATGACAAGTCAGGACGGCTAAAGGATATCTTGTTAGGAATTTCCAGCAATAGTGGGGTGCGCCGGAACCTGGAGGAAGGATTTCCATCGCATGAGGATCGGCTACGGGGACTCAAACGCGAGAGGTTTGTCGCACGGAGGGTAAAACTGCTTATTCAGCAAATCGCCCCGCGGCTAGAGTCTGCAAGGCGCGCTGGGATAGAGACGCAGGGTTACAGCGCTGCAGTTTCTGCCAGACGCGCAAGCACCGCACTCAGGGCTGAATTCTGGGTTCGAGACGGGGGAAGGAAGCGGTCCATCTCTGTTCTCCACACCGGTCAGACCACAGAGGAGGCCAGCAGCCACCATGTTGGTAAACTGACGTCACCACACCTGTTTTTGACTGACCGCAGCTCATTCAGCCATAGAACAGGTAATTTCAGGCTGCAATTCGCCTGCGGCTTGCAGACAGATTGCTAGGGTTCAGCGCCTGGGGGCTTCTTAAAATCTGATCTTATCGGAGTGAACACGGAGCGCGGGGCGGCCGAGTTCCGGCTCCTGGAACCGTCCCGGAACCGCCCTGGCTCCGGGCTGCGGAGCCTGCGGAGGCTGCTTCTTGGACCCTGCTAATATCAGAGCAAACACGAAACACCAAGAAGCCGAATTCCAGCTCCCGGAACTGAGCCCGCGGGGACTGCTTCTTGGAGCTTACACTTATAGGAGCTTACACCGAGCACAGAGCGGCCGAGTTCCGGCTCCCGGAACCGTCCCGGAACCGCCCTGGCTCAGGGCTGCGGAGCCCGCGGAGGCTGCTTCTTGGACCCTGCTACTATCAGAGCATACACCAAGCACCAAGCGGCCGAATTCCGGCTCCCGGAACTGAGCCCGCGGGGACTGCTTCTTGGAGCTTACACTTATAGGAGCTTACACCGAGCACGGAGCGGCCGAGTTCCGGCTCCCGGAACTTCCCTGGACCGGGGCTAGGAGCCCGCGGAAACTGTGTCTCGGTCCGGGTCCTGCTGAGGGCAGGTCAGGACTCACCCATTGCTTGGGTTACCAGGCAAGGGGAACGAAATGCTGCCATTCGCATAGGATACCAACATGGCAGAGATCTGATGTCAGCAGAAAGCGGTGGAGGAGAGATCTTCATCAATACCAGCGGTGACATAAGCAGTTGGTCTCCTGGTAAGGGGGGTGAGGCTCAGTCACCCGAGTCTCCTCAATTTGTCCTCGAGCCAGAGGGAAGGAGCCGGGCCGCCGTCAGCCCCCGGAGCAGGCCCAGCGGCTCGCCAGCGTGGTGACCGCGTGACCCCAATTGGAGAGGGGGCGGAGCGGAGCCGCCACCCACACCCGCCAGGTGGGCAGACCCACGACCCAGTAGTACATGGGCGTGGTAGGAGGGGCAGGGCAGAGCCGCCCTTCGCGCTTGCAAGGTAAACAGACCTGTGACAGCCTGGCGGGTCAGGCCCAGTGGCCTGCCAGTGTGGTACACACGTCACCCCAACTCGAGTAGGGGCAGAGCAGATCCTTATCCCACGCCCGGATCAGGCCCTGCCGGTGTGGTGGTCACGTGACCCCAATTGGAGTGGGGGTGGAGCGGAACCGCCACCCGTGCCCCCAGGGTGAGCAGACCAGTGATCAACCTGCAGATCAGGCCCAGGGGTCCGCAGGCGTGGTAGGAGGGGCAGGGCAGATCCGCCGCCCGCGCCTTCAAGGTAGGCAGACCTACAACAGACCAGCGGATCAGGCCCAGGAGCCTGCCGGCGTGGTACAAACACCACCCTAATTGGAGTAGTGACAGAGCAGAGTCGCCTCCCTTGCCAGGAACAGACCCAGCATCCTGCAGGCGGGGTAGCCACGACACCCCAATTGGAGTAGGGGCAAAGCAGAGCCTCCACCCGTGCCCGAAAGGTGGGCAGATCTGCGACAGACCAGCGGGACAGGCCCAGTGGCCTGCTGGTACGACAGACACGTCACCCCAATTGGAGTAGGGGCAGAACAGAGCCGCCACCAGCTCCCAGAACAGGCCCAGTGACCTGCCGGCGGGGTAGCCACGACACCCCAATTGGAATAAGGAGAGAGCAGAGCCGCCGCCCGCACCTGCAGGAAAGATACGCAAGCAGTATGAAAAGACAAGGAAAGAAAGGACCACAAGCAATGCAGGTCAACGCAACTTTAGAAGAGGTAACAGCTGCAGCAGATGGAATGTCAGATAAAGAATTCAGGATATACATGCTTCAGATGATCTGGAGTATCAAGGAAGACATTAAACAGCAAAATCAGACAATGAAAGATCACTTCGACAACGAATTACGCAAACAAATCCAGGAAGCAAAGGATCAACTATACAGGGAGATAGAGGTTATAAAAAACAAGCAATCAGAAATCCTAGAAATGCAGGAAGCAATAAACCAACTTAAAAACTCAATGGAGAATACTACCAACAGAGTAGAACACTTAGAAGATAGAACATCAGACAATGAAGACAAAGTATTTCAACTGGAAAAGAACATAGACAGCTCAGCAAGACTGTTAAGAAACCATGAGCAGAACATCCAAGAAATATGGGATAACATTAAGAGACCAAACTTAAGAGTCATTGGGATACAGGAAGGTACAGAGCTCCAAACCAAAGGAATGAGCTGTCTATTCAATGAAATAATACAAGAAAACTTCCCAGACTTGAAGAATGAGACAGAATCCCAAATCCTAGAAGCCTACAGGACGCCGAATGTGCAAAATCATAAGAGATCCACACCTAGACACATTATAATGAAGATGCCCAACATACAGAATAAGGAGAGAATTTTAAAAGCTACAAGAGAAAGGAAGCAGATTACATTTAGGGGCAAGCCAATCAGGATAACAGCTGATCTTTCAACACAGACTCTGAAAGCTAGAAGATCCTGGAATAACATATTTCAAACACTGAAAGATAATGGGTTCCAACCAAGAATTGTGTATCCAGCGAAATTAAGCTTCAGGATGGAGAATGAAATTAAAACCTTCCACGATAAACAAAAGTTTAAAGAATTTGCAGCTAGAAAACCATCTCTTCAAAACATCCTAGCCAAAGTATTACAGGAAGAGGAAATGGAAAATAACAATGAAAACCAACAGTGGGAGGTAGGACAGTAAAGGGGGGGGGGAACAATCAAAGAGGAAAACAAACAATGTTTAGTAACAGAAATAAACAAATATGGCTGGAAGAACAACCCATATCTCAATAATAACCCTAAATGTTAATGGCTTAAACTCACCAATTAAGAGACACAGGCTAGTAGAATGGATCACAAAACAAGACCCAACAATATGCTGCCTACAGGAGACGCATTTGATAGGAAAAGACATACATAGGCTGAAGGTGAAAGGTTGGGAAAAATCATATCACTCATATGGACTTCGGAAACAAGCAGGCGTGTCCATACTCATATCAAATAAAATAGATTTCAAGCCAAAGTTAATCAAAAGAGATAAAGAGGGACACTACATACTGCTTAAGGGAATCATACACCAACAAGACATAACAATCATAAATATTTATGCCCCAAACAATGGTGCAGCTATGTTCGTCAAACAAACTCTTCTCAAGTTCAAGAGTCTAATAGACCACCATACAATAATCATGGGAGACTTCAACACACCTCTCTCGCCACTGGACAGATCTTCCAAACAAAAGTTGAATAAGGAAACTATAGAACTCAATAACACTATTAATAACCTAGACCTAATTGACATATATAGAGTATACCACCCAACATCAAGCAGTTACACTTTTTTCTCAGCAGCACATGGATCCTTCTCAAAAATAGATCATATATTATGTCACAGGGCAACTCTTAGACAATATAAAGGAGTAGAGATATTACCATGCATCTTATCTGATCATAATGGAATGAAACTGAAAATCAACGATAAAAGAAGGAAGGAAAAAGCATACATCAATTGGAGAATGAACAATAGGTTACTGAATGATCAATGGGTTATAGAAGACATCAAGGAGGAAATTAAAAAATTCTTAGAGATAAATGAAAACACAGACACAACATATCGGAATCTATGGGACACATTGAAAGCAGTCCTAAGAGGAAAATTCATTGCTTGGAGTTCATTCCTTAAAAAAAGAAAAAACCAACAAATAAATGATCTCATACTTCATCTCAAAATCCTTGAAAAAGAAGAGCAAAACAACAGCAAAAGAAGTAGAAGGCAAGAAATAATTAAAATCAGAGCTGAAATTAATGAAATCGAAACAAAAGAAACAATTGAAAAAATTGACAAAACTAAAAGTTGGTTCTTTGAAAAAATAAACAAAATCGACAGACCCTTAGCGATGCTAGTGAAGAGAAGAAGAGAGAGAACTCAAATTACTAGCATACGGGATGAAAAAGGCAATATCACAACAGACACTTCAGAAATACAGAAGATAATCAAAAACTATTTTGAATCCTTATACTCCAATAAATTAGAAGATAGTGAAGGCATAGATAAATTTCTTAAGTCATATGATCTGCCCAGATTGAGTCAGGAGGATATAGAAAACCTAAACAGACCAATATCAATTGAGGAGATAGAAGAAACCATCAAAAGACTACCAACTAAGAAAAGCCCAGGTCCCGATGGGTATACAGCAGAATTTTACAAAACCTTTAAAGAAGAACTAATACCAATACTTTTCAAGCTACTTCAGGAAATAGAAAAGGAGGGAGAACTTCCAAATTCATTCTATGAGGCCAACATCACCCTGATACCTAAACCAGACAAAGACACTTCAAAGAAAGAAAACTACAGACCAATATCTCTAATGAACCTAGATGCAAAAATCCTCAATAAAATTCTGGCGAATCGGATACAAAAACATATAAAAAAAATTGTGCACCATGATCAAGTAGGATTCATCCCTGGGATGCAAGGCTGGTTCAATATACGGAAATCAATAAATGTTATTCACCACATCAATAGACTTAAAAATAAGAACCATATGATCATCTCGATAGATGCGGAAAAAGCATTCGACAAAGTACAGCATCCCTTTATGTTCAAAACTCTAGAAAAACTAGGGATAACAGGAACATACCTCAATATTGTAAAAGCAATCTATGCTAAGCCTCAGGCTAGCATCATTCTGAATGGAGAAAAACTGAAGGCATTCCCTCTAAAATCTGGAACAAGACAGGGATGCCCTCTCTCTCCACTTCTCTTCAACATAGTTCTCGAAACACTGGCCAGAGCAATTAGACAGACGAAAGAAATTAAAGGCATAAAAATAGGAAAAGAAGAAATTAAATTATCACTATTTGCAGATGATATGATTCTATACCTAGCAGACCCAAAAGGCTCTACAAAGAAACTATTAGAGCTAATAAATGAATTCAGCAAAGTGGCAGGATTTAAAATCAACACGCATAAATCAAAGGCATTCCTGTATATCAGCGACAAATCCTCTGAAATGGAAATGAGGACAACCACTCCATTCAAAATATCTTCAAAAAAAATAAAATACTTGGGAATCAACCTAACAAAAGAGGTGAAAGACTTATACAATGAAAACTACAGAACCCTAAAGAGAGAAATAGAAGAAGATCTTAGAAGATGGAAAAATATACCCTGTTCATGGATAGGCAGAACTAACATCATCAAAATGGCGATATTACCAAAAGTTCTCTATAGGTTTAATGCAATGCCAATCAAAATCCCAATGGCATTTCTTGTAGAAATAGAGAAAGCAATCATGAAATTCATATGGAAAAATAAAAGACCCAGAATAGCAAAAACAATGCTAAGCAAGAAGTGTGAATCAGGCGGTATAGCGATACCAGACTTCAAACTATACTACAGAGCAATAGTAACAAAAACAGCATGGTACTGGTACCAAAACAGGCGTGTGGACCAATGGTACAGAATAGAGGACACAGAAACCAATCCACAAAACTACAACTATCTTATATTTGATAAAGGGGCTAAAAGCATGCAATGGAGGAAGGATAGCATCTTCAACAAATGGTGCTGGGAAAACTGGAAATCCATATGCAACAAAATGAAACTGAATCCCTTTCTCTCGCCATGCACAAAAGTGAATTCAAAATGGATCAAGGAACTTGATATCAAATCAGAGACGCGCCGTCTGATAGAAGAAAAAGTTGGCTACGATCTACATACTGTGGGGTCGGGCTCCAAATTCCTCAATAGGACACCCATAGCACAAAAGTTAATAACTAGAATCAACAAATGGGACTTACTCAAACTAAGAAGTTTTTTCTCAGCAAAAGAAACAATAAGAGAGGTAAATAGGGAGCCTACATCCTGGGAACAAATCTTTACTCCTCACACTTCAGATAGAGCCCTAATATCCAGAGTATACAAAGAACTCAAAAAATTAGACAATAAGAGAACAAACAACCCAATCAACAAATGGGCCAAGGACCTGAACAGACACTTCACAGAGGAGGACATACAGTCAATCAACAAGTACATGAAAAAATGCTCAACATCTCTAGCTGTCAGAGAAATGCAAATCAAAACCACCCTAAGATACCATCTCGCTCCAGTAAGATTGGCAGCCATTAGGAAGTCAAACAACAACAAGTGCTGGCGAGGATGTGGGGAAAAGGGTACACTTGTACATTGCTGGTGGGACTGCAGATTGGTGCAGCCAATTTGGAAAGCAGTATGGAGATTTCTTGGAAAGCTGGGAATGGAGCCACCATTTGACCCAGCTATTCCCCTTCTTGGTCTATTCCCTAAAGACCTAAAAAGAGCATGCTACAGGGACACTGCTACATCGATGTTCATAGCAGCACAGTTCACAATAGCAAGACTGTGGAACCAACCTAGATGCCCTTCAATAGACGAATGGATAAAAAATATGTGGCATTTATACACAATGGAGTATTACTCTGCATTAAAAAATGACAAAATCATAGAATTTACAGGGAAATGGATGGCATTAGAGCAGATTATGCTAAGTGAAGCTAGCCAATCCCTAAAAAACAAATGCCAAATGTCTTCTTTGATATAAGGAAAGTAACTAAGAACAGAGTAGGGACGAAGAACAGGAGAAGAAGATTAACATTTAACAGGGATGAGAGGTGGGAGGGAAAGGGAGAGAGAAGGGAAATTGCACGGTAATGGAAGGAGACCCTCAGGGTTATACAGTGGAGGGGGTAGAGAGAGAGGAGGGGAGGGGAGGGGAGAGGTGGGGAGGGGGGAGGGGGGATGATGGGAAAGGCAGCGGAGCACAACAGACACTAGTATGGCAATTTGTAAATCAATGGATGTGTAACTGATGTGAATCTGCAATCTGTGTATGGGGTGAAGGTGGGAGTTCATAACCCACTAGAATCAAAGTGTGGAATATGATATGTCAAGAAATTTGTAATGTTTTGAACAACCCACAATAAAAAATTAAAAAAAAAAAAAAAAAAAACAAAAACAAAAAAACAAAACAAAAAAAAAAAACAGGAGCAAAATGGAAATGGAAAGAAGTAATGCTTAGGTATAAATTTGAAATACACCCAAAATTTCCTAGGATCTCATGCTTTTTGTTTTGACAGGTACAAAAGTATCAAATTCGCTGGAACACAAATTGGATTTGAAATTCCAAAGATATTGGCAACAAGTGACATTGCTCTCCGACTCCTGCATACTCACTATGATCATGTTTCTCCACTGAAGCTTGTTCGAACAGAACAAGAAAACAATTTTCTAATGACTGAGACTGTCACAGATGAAGGAACTAAGACTACAGAAGTCAAGACTACAGAAGTCAAGACTACAGAAGAACCAGTCAGCCAAGAGGACCAGGAGGAGTGTAAACCACAAGAAAGTGGCTCTCTCATAAATTCCGAGGATGAAATAAAAGTTGAAGATCAAGATGTTACTGAAGCACAAAGGGTAGGACACATCTAAATTCATATTCTTTTCTTTGTTCAAATAAATGTTGTTAATTTCCCTTTGTTGCAAGATTTTTCCTAAACAACTAGAAATTATCTTTAAAGTCACTTTCTTGCCAGTGCCTCAATTTGTAATGCATGTTTTCTTGCCTTCTGTTAAGAGTCCCTATTCATAGTTGAGCTACTGGTTTCAACAGTCTAAAAGTTCTGCACAGGATGGCTCATTTTTATATTAGGTACACTCCTGGAATGCTTTGAAGCCATGTAATTTTAGTGTATTTTTTATATAGTTTAAACTCACTCAAAGGAACTTTCCATTGACTACAAACTTATAGTAAACACTTTTATAAACCTGAAGGATTATCTTACATTACTCTGTTACTTTCTCAGTATTTTGTTTTCTGAAAAAGCATTTTGTAGAGTAAAAGTTGATTTTCTTAAAACATCACATTCCTCTCAAAACTTGGTGTGTGTGTGTGTGTGTATTATTAGATAAATTTAATAATTATTGTCCTTTGGATGTTTTCTGCTTTCTTCTTGTTCTTTTTTTAAAATTAGAGCTTTATAGTTATATATAGTAGTTGGGTTCATCTGAACAAACTCATACATGCATGTAATTGGATTTCAGTTTATGATTCCCCTTTCCCTCCTGTCCTCCCTCCCCTACTCTGTTCTCCTTCCTCTACTCTTACTAGACTTCCTTATTTATATTTGATTGGTTCTTTTTACTTATACAAAATAGTGAAATTCCTTGTGGTAGGTTTATATATGCACATAACATGATTTTTTAAAGAATTTATTTTGCATTGTCTCCCAGTTCCCATCCCTCCACTCTGCCCTTCCATCTCTTTCTTCTACATTACTTCTCTTTCCTTTATCTTTTTGTTTTGTTTTGTTTTGCTTTTCGTGTTTCTTTTTTTTTTTAATTTATTTTTTTATTGGTTGTTCAAAACATTATAAAGCTATTGACATATCATATTTCATACAATAGATTCAAGTTGGTTATGAACTCCCAATTTTACCCCAAATACAGATTGCAGAATCACATCGGTTACACATCCACATTTTTACATAATGCCCTATTAGTAACTGTTGTATTCTGCTACCTTTACTATTCTCTACTATCCCCCCTCCCTCCCCTCCCATCTTCTCTCACTACCCCATCCACTGTAATTCATTTCTCTCCTTGTTTATTTTCCCATTCCCCTCACAACCTCTTATATGTAATTTTGTATAACAATGAGGGTCTCCCTCCATTACCATGCAATTTCCCTTTCTCTCCCTTTCCATCCCACCTCATGTATCTGTTTAATGTTAATCTTTTCTTCCTGCTCTTCCTCCCTGCTCTGTTCTTAGTTGCTCTCATTATATCAAAGAAGACATTTGGTATTTGTTTTTTAGGGATTGGCTAGCTTCACTAAGCATGATCTGCTCTAGTGCCATCCATTTCCCTGTAAATTCTATGATTTTGTCATTTTTTAGTGCTGTGTAGTACTCCATGGTGTATAAATGCCACATTTTTTTTTATCCATTCATCTATTGAAGGGCATCTGGGTTGGTTCCACAGTCTAGCAATTGTGAATTGTGCTGCTATGAACATCGATGTAGCAGTATCCCTGTAGTACGCTCTTTTAAGGTCTTCAGGGAATAGTCCAAGAAGGGCAATAGCTGGGTCAAATGGTGGTTCCATTCCCAGCTTTCCCAGGAATCTCCATACTGCTTTCCAGATTGGCCGCACCAGTTTGCAGTCCCACCAGCAATGTACAAGAGTACCCTTTTCCCCACATCCTCTCCAGCACTTGTTTTTGTTTGACTTCATAATGGCTGCCAATCTTACTGGAGTGAGATGGTATCTTAGGGTGGTTTTGATTTGCATTTCTCTGACTGCTAGAGATGGTGAGCATTTTTTCATGTACTTGTTGATTGATTGTATGTCCTCCTCTGAGAAGTGTCTGTTCAGGTCTTTGGCCCATTTGTTGATTGGGTTATTTGTTTTCTTATTGTTTAATTTTTTGAGTTCTTTGTATACTCTGGATATTAGGGCTCTATCTGAGGTGTGAGGAGTAAAAATTTGTTCCCATGATGTAGGCTCCCTATTTACCTCTTTTATTGTTTCTCTTGCTGAGAGAAAACTTTTCAGTTTAAGTAAGTCCCATTTGTTGATTCTTGTTATCAACTTTTGTGCTATGGGTGTCCTATTAAGGAATTTGGAGCCCGACCCTACAATATGTAGATCAGAGCCAACTTTTTCTTCTATCAGACGCAGAGTCTCTGATTTGATATCTAGGTCCTTGATCCACTTTGAGTTAACTTTTGTGCATGGCGAGAGGAGGGGATTCAGTTTCATTTTGTTGCATATGGATTTCCAGTTTTCCCAGCACCATTTGTTGAAGATGCTATCCTCCCTCCATTGCATGCTTTTAGCTCCTTTATCAAATATAAGATAGTTGTAGCTTTGTGGATTAGTCTCTGTGTCCTCTATTCTGTACCATTGGTCCACCCTCCTGTTTTGGTACCAGTACCATGCTGTTTTTGTTACTATTGCTCTGTAATATAGTTTTAAGTCTGGTATTGCTATACCGCCTGATTCGCACTTCCTGCTTAGAATTGCTTTTGCTATTCTGGGTCTTTTATTTTTCCATATGAATTTCATGATTGCTTTATCCATTTCTACAAGAAATGCCGTTGGGATTTTGATTGGCATTGCATTAAACCTATAGAGAACTTTTGGTAATATCTCCATTTTGATGATGTTAGTTCTGCCTATCCATGAACAGGGTACATTTTTCCACCTTCTAAGATCTTCTTCTCTCTCTCTCTTTAGGGTTTTGTAGTTTTCATTGTATAAATCTTTCACCTCTTTTGTTAGGTTGAGTCCCAGGTATTTTATTTTTTTTGAGGATATTGTGAATGGAGTGTTTTTCCTCATTTCCGTTTCAGAGGTTTTGTCGCTGATATACAGAAATGCCTTTGATTTATGCGTGTTGATTTTATATCCTGCCACTTTGCTGAATTCATTTATTAGTTCTAGTAGTTTTTTTGTAGACCCTTTTGGGTCTTCTAGGTATAGAATCATGTCATCTGCAAATAGTGATAATTTAAGTTCTTCCTTTCCTATTTTTATGCCTTTAATTTCTTTCGTCTGTCTAATTGCTCTGGTCAGTGTTTCGAGAACTATATTGAATAGAAGTGGTGATAGAGGGCATCCCTGTCTTGTTCCAGATTTTAGGGGGAATGCCTTCAATTTTTCTCCATTGAGAAGGATGCTAGCCTGAGGCTTAGCATAGATAGCTTTTACAATGTCAAGGTAAGTTCCTGTTATCCCTAGTTTTTCTAATGTTTTGAACATAAAGGGATGCTGTACTTTGTCGAATGCTTTTTCTGCGTCTATTGAGATGATCATATGGTTCTTATTTTTAAGTCTATTGATGTGGTGAATAACATTTATTGATTTCCATATATTGAACCATCCTTGCATCCCAGGGATGAATCCTACTTGATCATGGTGCACAATTTTTTTGATGTGCCTTTGTATCCGATTCGCCAGAATTTTATTGAGGATTTTTGCATCTAGGTTCATCAGAGATATTGGTCTGTAGTTTTCTTTCTTTGAGGTGTCTTTGTCTGGTTTCGGAATCAGGGTGATGTTGGCCTCATAGAATGAATTTGGCAGAGCTCCTTCTTTTTCTATTTCCTGAAATAACTTGAAAAGTATTGGTATTAATTCTTCCTTAAAGGTTTTGTAAAACTCCGCTGTATACCCATCCGGTCCTGGGCTTTTCTTGGTTGGAAGTCTTTTGATTGCTTCTTCTATTTCATCTATTGTTATTGGTCTGTTTAAGTTGTGAGTATCCTCCTGACTCAGTCTGGGCAAATCATATGACTTAAGGAATTTATCGATGTCTTCACTATCTTCTATTTTATTGGAATATAGGTTTTCAAAATAGTTTTTGATTATCTTCTGTATTTCTGAAGTGTCTGTTGTGATATTGCCTTTTTCATCCCGTATGTTAGTAATTTGAGTTCTCTCTCTTCTTCTCTTCGTTAGCATGGCTAAGGGTCTGTCGATCTTATTTATTTTTTCAAAGAACCAACTTTTAGTTTTGTTAATTTTTTCAATAGTTTCTTTTGTTTCAATTTCGTTGATTTCCGCTCTGATTTTAATTATTTCTTGCCTTCTGCTACATTTGCTGTTGTTTTGCTCTTCCTTTTCTAGGGCTTTGAGATGAAGTATGAGCTCATTTATTTGTTGGTTTTTCCTTTTTTTGAGGAATGACCTCCAAGCGATGAATTTCCCTCTTAAAACTGCTTTCATTGTGTCCCATAGATTCCGATATGTTGTGTCTGTATTTTCATTTATCTCTAAGAATTTTTTGATTTCCTCCTTTATGTCTTCTGTAACCCATTGATCATTCAGTAACATATTGTTCATTTTCCATGTGATGTAGGATTTTTCCTTCCTTCTTTTATCATTGATTTCCAGTTTCATTCCATTATGATCAGATAAAATGCATGGTATTATCTCCACCCCTGTATATTTACTGAGGGTTGCCCTATGGCATAATATATGGTCTATTTTTGAGAAGGATCCATGTGCTGCTGAGAAAAAAGTATATCCACTTGATGATGGTTGATATATTCTATATATGTCAGTTAAGTCTAGGTTGTTGATTGTGATATTGAGTTCTATAGTTTCTTTATTCAGCTTTTGTTTGGAGGATCTGTCCAATTGTGAGAGAGGTGTGTTGAAGTCACCCATAATTATTGTGTTGTGGTCTATTTGATTCTTGAACTTGAGGAGAATTTGTTTTATGAACGTCGCAGCACCATTATTTGGTGCATAAATATTGATAATTGTTATGTCTTGTTGGTGAATGGTTCCTTTTAACAGTATATAATTCCTTCCTTATCCCTTTTGATTAATTTAGTCTTGAAGTCAATTTTATTCGATATGAGGATGGCCACCCCTGCTTGCTTATGAGGACCGTGTGCGTGGTATAT